AGCGGCCAACATGGCCGACCCGAGTTCGATTCCTCTGCCCCTCTCGGAGAGCCCGGCAAACTACCGAGAGTATTCGATATGCCAGACACAGTAACAACAAAGTCTCCAATGGAGACGTTACTGGGCCCGCTCGAGCAAATCGACGATCAACGGGAGGGCCTTTACCTTTAACTTTACCTATTGAAAGTGTTCCCTCAAGCTTTTTACATGCACCCAACAATTTACACTGATTCCTGAACCAGGGCTGGGGTGGGGGGTAGGGTGGCTGCCCAGGAAGATGGAATCTAGTGGCAAAGAGAATGCCAAAAAGTTTGTTTTCAGAGATGCTGTGTGGCAAGCTCTGCTGTCCTTTTCCTTCCCTCTAGAAAGGCTTTGTTTTCCTCCTCTAAGATTGCTCGAGCGGGCCCAGTAACGTCTCCATTGGAGACTTTGTTGTTACTGTGTCTGGCATATCGAATACTCTCGGTAGCTTGCCGGGCTCTCCGAGAGGGGCGGAGGAATCGAACTCGGGTCGACCATGTTGGTCGCTTGTAAGGCGAACGCCCTACCCACTGTGCTATCGCTCCAGCCCTCTAAGATTTCAATGTTGCTTAAACCCTACAGGTGTATGTATGTGTTTTCCTTTTGCACTTACCTGTTCACACCTAATGCTATTTGGACTGAATCTTTGTTTTCTAAATGGGGCACTCAGAAACTGGCTTTTAAGAGAGATATTTGCATGACTAAGCATTACCCTAATCTAGGTTCTCCAAATGTTACAAATTTAGGACCTTCTGGCCTTGGGAGAAGGAGGGGACTTCTCCCTTGGCTGCTCTGCCCAGGAATAATCATGCTTTCTTGCCTGTGGTCCTTACGGAGCCTTTCAAGAGATGCTTTGAGAGCTCATTTGGTTTACATACAACTCAATGTGAACAAAACTCATCTGTCAATGAGAGGGAGGAGGGAAGAGGAAAAGGTAAGAGAATTAAAATTGCCAAACCAATAGCATGTGCCTTCCGCCTTGAACTTTAATAACCCAGCGCTGCCTGCAGGCTAAAAAAAAAAAAAACAAATGCAATGGGTAGGTACAAGGCTTGTGCCGGTGCCAGGAAAATACAGCAAGACACAACTTTTACAAGGTAAGCAATTATTCATTAATAAGAGCCCTGCAGGACAAAACTGTTTTTAATATCTTCGAAGTTGGCAACCAGATGCCTGAAACCTTGGCTCAGCATATCCAAAACTCACAGCAGATAGGACCACCTTCTTGAAGATGAAATCACCTTCCAGGGGAAAACAATAGCTGAGAGGCTGGGTTTTATGATTCAGGGAAGGAGGGGAATTTGATCTATATTTTCTTTGCCATAGCAAGACCCATTTAAACAAACGTCACAGGTATCCCATATGTTAGGAAAATTTTCAAGATTTTTTTTTTAAAGGAAAGACATTCTGTAGATACTCTGTGGATCAAGAGCTCCATCTTTCTCCCTGTGCCAAAGAAGGATTTTTTTTTAACCCTCTAATGCTATCAGGAAGATCTGAAACTACAACTCTTCATTTGAATTCTGAAGATGAACCGCTCTTTGGGGTGTCTTATTACACTTGTCACCTTCAGAAGCGTTAAAGGAAGTGCCTGTCACGAACATTCAAAAATAAAAATGAAAATGATGCTGGAGGAGTTCAAAAACCAAATGCATCAGCATTTTGCTTCAGTTTCCTGTTCATAAAACTTGATTTAAAAAAAAGAAAACACCCATTAAAAGGGGGAAAAAAGCTCACAACAATAGCTCGTTATTCTTTTCCTAAAAGCTTGCCTTATGTCACTTTGAAATGAGGTGCCATCAAGTTTCCTGAGTAATGGATTCCAAACGCCACCTCCCTTTCCTCACTCTTGCACCCCTTCCGCAGCTGGCATGGTTCCTGAATCCAGGCACTCCTCAGTTGACCGTGTATATTCCCTCCTACCTGTCCAGAGGAGGCCAAGCATTTGTGCCAGCTGGAAGCCTGAGTAATGGAGGCTTCCTTCCTTCCAATTAATTTTCATTTCCTAAAGAAATCTTTAATAACATGCGCACTTACAAAGAAAAAAAAATCACTGACAGACTGCTCTAATGGTGAACTGAAAATAATCATAAATGTATTGCCTTGTGAAAATCATCTGTGCAAAAGATATTTTCCTCCCTTGTTCTCTGGTAAAGCAGTCAAATAGTCAAGGCTCTTCATTTATTGCTCAGTGGACATGAATATAAAGTCTGGAATGAGAAGTCTGGGTTCAAAAGCCAAATTTCTATTTGCTAACTATATGAATTTGGGCAACTTAACTATATTAAACCTGAGTTTAATCATCAGTAAAGTAAAGATGTGAGGGTTTCAGTTTCAATAAAACAAAACATGAATTGTTTAATAACTTAATACACGTATCACTATTCTTGTGTGTGCCACACTTGTTGGTGCTTGTGGAAGAGTGAAAATAGGAGGGAGGAGATATTTCCAGTCCAGTGCTCTGTGTCAAGCTTGGTGGTGCTCAGGGACCATGTGTTGCTGGAGATTAAACCCAGGGCTCCTACATGCAAAGCATGTGCTCCAGTCTGTTGAACTATCTTTCCACTTCCTATATCAACATTCTTGACACTGGTAAGCACATCCTTTATTTTGATATTAACCTCTCTGCTATATAAATCATCCTACTCTGTTTTTTCTCACTGAATAAAAAAGGAAAAGATGCATTTGCTTTTCATTCTCATTCCTTCCAATGGAGTGACTTCTTTCATTTTAATCTATGATTTCAAGTGTGGGTTCTAATATTGGACATACATTAAAGAATTCTTTCATTTTAACCTATGATTTCAAATGTGGGCTCTAACAGTTTACATCAATGGAGTTGCAGGGCAGAGTAGACTAATCTCAATCAGAAGACTGGTCCCATCCTGGTTCTACCATTTAATTTTCCGTGTGACCTTGGTCAAGTCCATTACACTTTGAAGTATAGTTTCTAAAGCTGAAAAGTAGGATGCCTTAAATATAAGTTCATATCATCTGTGAGTCTATGAAACAGCAAAGGGAGTATGTATGAGCTATAACTTCCATTTTTTTGTTATTTTATTGCAGTAGAGGAAATTTAAATGTTAGTATTACTTCCAGATGTAAACATCCTTGTCTAAAAATCATCAAACTTGGTAGAGGGAGCCCACATTTGGGGTTAGTTTGGTACTCTCACAGTTTATAAGGGGTCATCAGAAAACCCAGTCCCTGGGCCAGCAACGTGGCTCAACAGTAAAGCATTTGCCTTGCATGTGTGAGGCCCTGAGTTTGGTCCTCAGCGAAGAGGGAGGCACAAGGAGTTCAAGCAACTTACTCAGAATCACAGGACTTCTAAGTGATAGCATTGGGTACTAAAGGCAAGAACCTCATTTCCAGAACCTTGTAGTTATGATGCATAATACTGACTTCACACCTTTTACAACTTAGAGGCTTTGCACTAGGGCCTGGAAAGCTAGGGGCTCAGGATCTGAGTCTGTGGGATTAATAAAACATTAAATGTGAGAGAGGCAGGAGAACTGAGGGGTTAGATGGTCATTTGGGTGCTAGAGACGCTTTGGACACTGCTTTCCAACCAGACCATGGCTGGTCACACAGCTGTGCCTCCTGTCTTCCTGGAGCAAGAACTACCACAGTATTTTCAACCACCAGCCAGACATTCTCGGTGCTCTCATCAGTAATTGGGACATGAAAGCCCAGCTTCACAAGGAGGAGGTGGAGATCAGAACGGAGCCAGATCAGGGGCTAGCATAGAGCAGTAATTTCATTGGCCTCATCCAGGTTGACTGTGATCCCAAAGAAAGCCAAGAGCTAAGTCTGGACGAGTAAAAGTTCCATGTTGGATGACTGGACTTGCTTTCAAAAACCAGAGAGGGACAGTGGTGATGGCTGCACAACAATGAAGATGAAGTAAGCGCCACTAAACTATATTTAAAAATTGGCAAGATAATGAATGTGCTTTATTAAAAAAGAAATCCCAACAAACTAAAAACTAATCTGTGGATGGGGTAAGGCCATTATCAAGTGGTACTCAGAGGCTCTCCTGGATCTGTGCTCAGGGGGTCACTCCTGGCAGTGCCCAGGGGATCACATGCAGTACCGAAGGTTGACCAGGGTCAGTGGCACGCAAGACAAGAGCTCCACCCCTGCATTATCTCTCCAGCCCTAAAAACTATTTCTTTTTTGGTATTGCTTTGATTATTTGTAAAACAAAACAAACAATAAAAACCAAAAAGTAATGTAGCCAGTGTTAACTTTGGATAGAACAAAAAAGCAGCCGTTGCAGTTTAGGGAGGTCACATGTGATAGAGAAAGATTACCAAATCATGTTCACTGCTGCTTTCTCTCTAACAGGCCTGTGACCTGTCACAGGTCTCACCATCTACTTGAGGGCCCTTTCTCTGCTTTGTAGAGGGTGGCAGAGTAGTTCAGAGAAACCACACAGATACCAAATACACTTTGAGTCTAAGCACTAATGGTTTTAGCCAGGCATCTACAATCCTCACCCCAGGTCCCCAGGCAGTGGGCTCTTTGCACCACAGGGGCATCTGACTTTATTGGCAGGGCTGTGTGGCCTCATGGGATATGAGGTCACAGTGCACAGACCGGGCAGTCACGGCAGGGCTGGTTCTCTAGGAAGGAGAAGCTGGGAAAGGATGATTTGCATTTTCAAAGAGACAGCAAAGAGAATTCCTTTGTCTTTGAAGAAAGGAGTAGTTCATTTACAACCTAATGGCTCTTCCAAGGCACTGGAGTAAGAGTGGGGGTGGGAGGGAAGGGTGGGGTGGGAGGTGTGGTTCTGTCTCTGTTTATCCCCGGGCTCTGTTTATCCCTGGAAGCTGTGGGCAAATCATTGAACTTTCTTGGCTTCCGTTTGCATTAAACAGAGTGTACTGGATTAGAGTTTTTCAATCCAAGTCTTGTGGAACATTAACTGCTTACCACTTCCATTTCAGGCCCAGGAGGTCAGGAGTAAGAGAGGAGCCACAACACGGACTGACCTTCCGTCCCGCCCTCGTGGATGTGGGGGAAGGAATGGAAGATGGCGTAACTAGAGAACACTGCACCAGGTGACTCTTTAGTTCTCCTTCTTTTCCCTACTGAATACTCTGGGGCAATATAAAAGAAAGAGGAAAGAGGGGACTCAGGCCGGGGTTCATCTCGAATCTGTATTTCCACAGTTAGCATGGTGAATGAGAGGCCTTTCAGAGTGGGAGGGCATTGGTGGAAATAATGGGGAAGAATGCTCAATCTTTTGCCTTGAAGTACCCACCATTACATACAGTGAGCTCTCCAGAGATGCTGACAGCATTAACCTCAATTGCAAACATGCCTGCATCAAATGGAAAGAGGTTGCAGAAGCAACGTGACTATGCCAAATGCCCACCGTTTCTGTGGTGCCAGCCACCCACTCTGACAAAGCCATTTTCAGATCAGTGCTTTTCAACCCAAATGAGCACACCTCTTCCCGCAGGATAACCACAGGTAAAGCTCCTTTTGCTTCCATCCCACGTGCTTGGAAACGGAACAAAAGGGAGCTGTCTGGAAACTGAAGAATTCCTCTTGCTTGCATTGTATCTCTGCCCAGGGTTGTGACAAATACTGTTTCATGCTTAGCTTTAGAGCTCAAAAGATAAAGTGCCTTGGTAAGAATGAAAATAGAGGAAAAATGGTGAAAGAACAAAGAAATGTAAGCCCTATATTATTATTTTTTTCATTCACATAGTAGCCTTTTCTTCCTGGGAAAGGTGACACTTTCCACAGCCTCCCAGGAATGACCAAGACTCACAATTAGCTCCTTATTTTTATTTTTTTCATTCTAAAAATAGAATTGAAGAGTAATCTCAGGCCTGCTGACTCTGAGCTTATGTTTATTCTACAAAATCGGTTTGCTCATGAACCATGTTCCCATACCACAAAGGCCGGCACCTAAGTGTTCCATAAATATTTATTGAATAAATTAAAGAACAAAAGAAAGAGGCTCTAATATGTGCACTGAAGACCATGCACAAAAGTGGAGCAATAGGCTGACATTTGAAAAGTTTGGCAACTCTTTGACCTCAGGTCCAGACTAGCCTCCCTCATCCTTCTCTGACTTTTCAAATATGACCCAAGCCTAGACCAGGCTTTTCTTCTGAGAAACCTGTCTAGAACAATCCAGCCCACAGGAGATGGCTCCCTCTTTTGAATTCTAACAATTTTTATGACTACCACTCATTAATCTTGTTTTATTAGCTGCCAACATTTGGAAAGTGTTTAGCAGTCTACAGCCACATAACTTTTCTGGTTATCTAACCAACTAGAACTACAGCTAGTGTTTAAAAAAAAAGCACTGTAGCACTGTCCTCCACTGTCCATCGATTTGCTCGAGCGGGCCCAGTAACATCTCCATTGTGAGACTTGTTGTTACTGTGTTTGGCATACTGAATACATCCCAGGTAGCTTGCCAGGCGAAAAAAAAAAAAAACTGGAGAGGGAATTGTGTCATCCCCAGTACGGTAAAGGGGTATTCCTGGCTCTGTGCTCCTGGTGTCACTTTTGGTGGTATTTGGAGAACGATATGCGGTACGTGTCATCTCAGGTACACTGCAACAAGTAGCCTAGTGAGCAATCCTGGGACATCATCAACAACAAAGGATGGGAAGTGGGGGAAGTAAAGATGGTATCTGATCAAACCTCCAACTCTGCCCAGCGGTTTACAGGAAACAGAATGATAAAGGAAAAAGTCACATCCCAAGAAAGCAAGTCCCAAATCCAGGAGAGTAAACATGACATGGCACAAGGCTCTGATTTATCCAACAAATCAATCAACAAGTCAAGGAGAGGTATGGAAAAGAGGGAAAAGGAAGTTTTACAGAATAACTACCATAAGAAAGGAGTGAACTTATATGGGATCCTGATGCAAAAGATCAATGGGACAAGGAGAAAAATTACCAAGAATTTCTCTTTGTCATCCAAGATGCAATCCAAAGGGAAATGTGGGGATATCTGACTTTGAACTGAATACCTCAGTATTATCTAACTAAGGATTCTTGTCAGTTTCGTGTGTGAAAAGGTACAGTGGTTAGTTATGTAAAAAAAAAAAAATTAAATACCCTTATTAGTAAGAGATTGTCATAGTACTGATTAGTGACATGATGATTGAGTTTTACTTAAAATCCTAAAAACACAATGTGAGACCAGGGATTAACCATTGAGATTGAAATGCTACAAGTGAAGATGCTAATTATAATGTCCTTTTAAACTATCCAACCCAGAAAATTATAGTTTCCAAGGCTGGTGAGAATATAACGTAACTAGTACTCTAAATAGTTGAAGGCATTTAAAACTGCTCTGCTATCAAGAGGTGTCACTATATACTAATAGTGATAAAAGATACAAATATCTTGTCCTCCTATTCTGACACATGTGAATATGCCAAAAAGAAAATAATATATACAATGGAAATATTTTCAGTGTATTGTCATTTAATAGTCTAATTTAAAATAATAATAGGCTAGTTATTGAACATGGATAGTACACTATATGCCAGGAACTACATTAAGTGCTTTTATACTGTATTCCCTAAACAATCCTCTGAGGAAAGTATTATCATTCTCCTGATGGAGCTCCTCCCTAAGACGACACAGCTAAGAAATGGCAAAGGAGGAGGTTCAGGTCAAATGTATCAGCCCTGCACCGTTGCCCTGACTCACATGTTTGACAATAGGTGACACTTAATTAAATTATGAGACATTCACGGGATGAACATTATTTAAATATTAACAACAATATTTGTGAAGTCAAACATGGAAAACATTAAAAAAAAGGATGGAACTTCATGAAGGCACCTACGAAATATGTCTTTATGTGGGAAATCTTTGCAGGAGAAGTATATAAAAGGGAGGGAAGTCACAACTGTATCTAAAGCAAGGTTTTTCAATTATGGCCCTGCAGTTATTTTTGTAATTAAAACAAAATAAAAGGAAAGGAAACTTAAGTAAGGGGTGGTTATGACTACTGATGAAACCAGGGCTTGATGGGATAGGTTTTCTCAAAATGTTATAAACCTTTACTTTTTTCAAATAAGTGTCTTTAATTCTTTGGACGTCTTCCAGATCTAAAGGAAGAAACACACCCTTCTCCTCCTCCTCTAAATATCTTTCCAATGATCTCTGCCCAAAATTTTGGCAAGAAATTTGACTAGCAACAAAGAATCAACCTGTTGTTTCCTCTGCAGGAATGCTGTGTAAAATATTAGAGTAAGAAAATGGGTGTCTTCAACATACTACAAGAAGAAGACAACAACATATGTGAGTCTGCAAAGCACTGTTGCATGATGGAGTTTCACTTAGAACCTCTTACAGCTTATTTGTTATTTGCATGATGTGGGGGATGGGGGAATGAGAGGGAGGTGAGGGTTACAGAAGCACCAGAAAATGAGAGCTCGTCCTTCATCTTATCACAGCCTAATGCATCCACCAGACTGCTAATCGCCTCACAATCTCAGCCCACAGCTCACCATCCTGCATAGACTCTGTGTGCTCCCCCACCCTGGAAACACACATTCAGCTCTTAGATACAAGTTGACTGCAAGACTCTATATATGGAAGTACTTTGGAATCTATGAAATGTTCTACAGATGAAAGGTTATCCTGTTGAAAAACCTGATGTGTTTCTTCTGCCATAAACGAGTTCCAGAGACATTCTTTGAGGAGGGAAGAAAACAACTAAGTAGATACCAGTTTTCTTTTTTAATTTTTTTTTTAAACTGCCAGAACCACAGTAACCATAAATAATCAACCTTTTATGACCAAGCTTCTGTAACTGCCAGGGGATCATTATCTTCTGAAAAAAGTCTCTAATCTGTAAGCTGAGGGCACATGACCATTTGTGATTCTGTGTGGTATCCATCAGTACCCATCACCAAGATAACAGCTTAATCTTGAATGGAGGAGGCAAGGATATTTTTGAGGAAGCACTGTTAAACATTTCCCTTTAAAAAACTGAAAAGAACTAGAGAGACAGCATGGCAGGTTGAGAGTGTGCTTTGCCTGTGGGAGGCCTGATTTGATTCCTGGTACTGCTTGATTTGATTCCTGATTTGATTCCTGGTCTACCAAGCACTTCTGGGAGTAACCCCAAAGCACAGAGCCCGACTTAGTCCCCCCAAACCACCAGATGTGTGCAAAAACTCTCCTGCCCCCCAATTTAAAAAAAAATATAAATAAAAGGATTGGGATATGGCTTGGTGGTAGAAAGCATTGCTTGTTCGTGTGAGGCCCTGGATTCATTCCCTGGCACCACAAAAGAAAAGTGACAAGAAAAAGATCTTGGGGTCTTGGGGAAAGAACAACAACAAAAAAATAAGCGAGACACCTCGCTGAAAGAACAGACTAGGCTGAAGTCAGAGGCCCTTCAAGAGAGTCAGTGCAAGTGTTGTGGAAGATTATGGAAAAGCCTCTTAGAGATGAGAATGAAAACCACTAAAGACGGTTTGCTGAATGTAACTTTAAATATTTTAAGTTTGAACAAACAGAATTCCAGGAATTAGGAAAAGAGGAAATTGCAAGGTGCTTTGCAAAGCACCAACAAAGAAAAGTTCACTTAACAATAGAGTAGCAGGGAGAACAATGGAGAGCTCATTGTAGAAGAGGTTATTTTGGAGGGGGAGAGGGGACAAGAAATAATAGGAGCAATAATCATAATGTTAATGATTGTATCACTAGTAGTGGATGCTTTTGTTTAGGGACCACACCTGGTAGTGCTCAAGGGCTACTCCTAGCTCAGTGTTTGAAAGTCATTTTCAGAGGTGCTTGAGGGGACTATGTAATGCTGGAGATTAAACTCAGGACTCCTACATACAAAGTGTGCACTTCAGCCTTTTGGGTCATCCCCCAGTCTAGCAGAGACATTCTTCTTTCTATTCTAGTGCTGGGGATTGAACCTAGGTCCTCATGTATGTATGCAAGACGAGGCCACAACTGTGGTCCATCATCATCATCATCCTCATCCCTTTTTTGTTTTGTTTTGTGGTAATGCCCAGGGGTTACTTCTAGCTCTGCACTCAGGAATCACTCCTGGTGGTGTTCAGAGGACCATTTGGTATGCCAGGGATGGAACTTGGGTTCACTGCATGTAAGACAAGCATCTTATATGCTATACTATCTCTCTGGTCCCCATCATCAGCCCTTTTAATCCCTAGACATCCCGGAAAGTAGCCTATGACCCCCTTTCTAGGTAAGAGACTTGAGGCTTACACAGACCCCACAAATTTTTTTTAGACAATGGTAGGGCTATGGTTCAAACCCTGATTTGCTTAAAATATATAATGCCTTTAAACTATTATACAAAAGGCATGTAATTATCGCAAAAGATCGTATTTCGTTGTTGTTTTATTTCTGGGTTACACCCGGCAATACTCACTGCTTACTCTTGGCTCTGCACTCAGAAATTACTCCTGGCAGTGTTTGGGGACTATATGGAATGCTGGGAATCGAACCCTGGTCAGCAGCATGCAAGGCAAATACCTTACCTGCTGTACTATCATGCCAGCCCCAGATGATACTGATATTTTAAAGATTACTGACAATTTTTAAATTATGTTTGCATACCCATTTTTTTAGCATTATAACTCCTCACTTCCTGTCCTAAAGATACAAATGAAAAGAATGAAATGCTACACCAGTTCATGGTAGCAATTGCAGATCTTTTCTGGAAAAGGTGAGAAGAAACTATTAGAAAAATCTGGGGGGGGGGTTCTTTGTTTGCAGACCATTGTTATTAATAGCTAATTATAACAGAATTCTCAAAGAGAAACACCTTAGTGACTTCACTGTTTGAAGATTGTTCTAACAACTCAAGTATGTGCCTATAAAGAAGAATGAGGAAAGGCAATGAGGTAGCAAGGTCAGGGTCACACAGTCTGCTAATTCCTAAGCACTGTTCAGAACCCAGACACTGGAGTCTAAAGGCTGAGTCTGAATTCCTTCTTTACCACTCTTTCCTGGGATTCTGTGCGTGTGTGTGTGTGTGTGTGTGTGTGTGTGTGTGTGTGTGTGTCTTTCCAGGCAGGCCTCAGTTTCCTCACTTATAAAACAGGAGTGAAACTAGAATATAAATCCACTGTAAGAACCAAATGGACGGTGCATGAAAACAAGAAGCACAGTGCCAGACACAGTGTGAGTTACTACTCCTGGCACAGTCAACAAAGAAACCAGACTGTTTCATTTACAAAGACCCTGGCACTTCATGTCACATTCTTTATAAGCTACAAAATATTCATGTGTGGAATGAATACACAGCCTTTGCAAAAGCACCAAATTAAGAATCTTGCCCAACTCAAGGGCTCATTCATTTTTTCCAAGCCAGAGTCAGTAGTTTAGAGGAGGGAGACAATATTTCTGTATGTTCTTTTCCACGAGGCTTTGGCATTTGACAAATGCTGCTGACATAGGGCTGCTTTTCCAACGAGGCCCACTAGAATCAGAACCTAGCATCCGTAACAGGCAGCAGGGTTCTCTGTTTCCAGCTTTATTTTGTAAAGCTGGGGGCAAATGACAAAGACTCTTGCTCTTGATAATCGCGTGACAGCAACTCAGTGACACCTCATTTTACCAGCTTAACTCAAATCCAGCGGCTTCATTCAAGACTTTCATTGTTGAGCTGTTGGCACACAGAGCCCATTCTTTAAGAGCTCTAGAGCGAGGAGCTCACGATGTACGGCACCATGGGCCTTTTGACACACTCAGCTTCAGTCCTCCCTCTTCTAATAACAATTCTAGCATCTCTTTGGGGGAAACTGTCCCTCTTTCATTTCCATGATTTCAATGGGAGCACACTCACTGTCAGGCCCCTTGAGAGTACATATGACTCAGGATGAACCAATCAACACCCTCCTCCTTCTGATGATAGTGATGGGGGTAGGAGGGCAGGAGACTCAGTCTTTGGATTTTTACCAGAAGACTTGGGCAAGAAAGGACCTCTCAGGACCAAAGAGATAGTACAGTGGATGATCCCTGTCATTGCATATGGTATCTTGAGACCCACCAGGAGTGTTCCCTGAGCACAGAGTCAGGAATAAGCCCTGAGCACTGTCAGGTATGCCCTATCCCCCACAAAAAAAAGGGCACCTAAATAAGAATTTTGGAACATCTGGTGCCATCTTTCCATCAGGAGAAAAGACTCATATATGAGAATGGAGGCAGCAACGGGAAACAAAATCTGAGGAAAATTAGCACCTGGATCTAGCCATGCCTGAATGCCATAACTTGCTGAAACCTGAACATGTATTTCTTTTTTGCTTAAAGGAATCCGAGTTGTGTTTTTTGACTGGAAACAGCAATTTTTTTTTTTTTGGGGGGTGATAACTACAAAGATTTTTTTTTTGTTTCAATTATACAATGACCAGATACCCATCCCTCCACCAGTGCCCATTTTCCACCACCATGGATAATATCCCTCCCACCCCCATCCCCCCATCCCCCCAGTCTCTGTGGCAGGGCAATCCCCTGTGTTCTCTCTCTCCTTTTGGGTGTTGTGGTCTGCAAAAGAGGCATTGAGTGGCAAACATGTTCAGTCCATAGTCTACTTTCGACATGCATCTCCCCTCCTGGGAGGATCCTCCAAACATCCTTTATTTGGTGCTCCCTTCTCTATCTGAACTGCCCTTTCCTCTAGGATACCCGGCTAGCCTCTAAGTTATGGAGTAATCCTCCTGGTGCTGATCTCAGCTATTCTTGGGTATTAATCTCATACTTTGTTACTTTATATCCCCCAGATGAATGCAATCTTTCTATGTCTATCCCTCTCTTTCTGACTCATTTCGCTTAGCATGATACTTTCCATATTGTACCACTTGTATGTAAAGTTCATGACTTCATCTTTTCTAAGAGCTACATAGTACTCCATTGTGTAGATGTACCAAAGTTTCTTTAACCAGTCATCGGAAACAGCAATTTTTAAATGGAAATACATAGAATATATATTATATATAAAATACATATAAAATGTACATATTTTATATAAAAGACTTTATCATATAAATACATATATATGACACATTATCAAGGGTTTACATTACATATAATGTAAACATTACATTGCTTCTCTTGAGAAAATTGTAAGTTTCCCATAACAAGAAGATCAATTTCACAATCTACTATGAAGTCAAAACTGCTTGTCAAAAACAAAACCTTAGGATAGCAGAAATTATTTATAGCAATGCCAAGGAGAACAGCATAGGAAAACGTTAAGTTTTCATTGGTCAGTTTCTGGAACTTGACAGCAGGCTTAGGGACCATGTGAGTATCCAAAGCTACCTTTACACTGGGGCTCCCCTACTTCTAATTCTTCTACAACCCTTTACTTGACCCTGTTAACAGAACCCAGACCCTGTTAACAGAACTCCTACCTGTTAACAGATAGGAAGACCAATATCCAAATATCAGGCTAGAAGTTTAATTAGAACCATGAGGTTTAATTAGAACCACGAACAAGTCCCTAAGTATTACTTGTGACACTAGTAAACCTAATTTTACTCCAAAGAAAGATTCACTTCCCCCCGCCCCAACTCTTCACATACAAATTTTAAGCACATTTGTATATAATAATTTGTGGAGTTGGGGGGGGGGGCACACACAGAGGTGCTCAGAGCCAACTCCTGGTTCTGTGCTCAAGAGTAAGTCCTGGCAGGGGCTGAGGGAGTATATGGGGTGCTGGCTGATACCATCTTTCTTTGCAAGGCAAGCACCATACCCTACAGATAGTACGACTGTACTATCTCTCCAGCTCCTGTATAGGATTAATAATTATAATTTTTATTATAGTGTCATATGAGTTTTTTTAATATATATCAAGAAAAACTTCATACATACCAAAGACCATTTATGTACAAAAACACAGAAGTACTGTATGAAAATTGACAGATAGTAAAGGTTTTTTTTTTTTTGGCTTTTTTTGGGGTCACACCTGGCAACTCCTGTCTCTGCACTCAGGAATTACCCCTGGTGGTGCTCAGGGGACCATATGGGATGCTGGAAATTGAACCCAGGTCAGCCACGGGCAAGGCAAATGCCCTACCTGCTGTGCTATTGCTCCAGGCCCAGTAAAGGCTTTTCTATCTATGAGTCAATATTTAAGAAAAAAATTTAGTGATCTTTTATAAAATAAAATATAATTTTTTTTTAAAAAGGCCATC